TAGAAAAAGTTTTTTATGCTTGCATAGCATCAACAACTTGGAAATTTTCCAATTTCCCGTGTAGGTGTGCTCTGACACAAAATCACTCAAAACTGTTAGAATTGAAAATCTGTTTTCCTTAAAATTTACCCAATAAGCGAGTCAGTTTATGAAATTTAACAGAAGATTTAAGAAAAATGGGTTAATATGTCATACTATTGATAATATATGTGTAAAGTAGTGAAAGCAATCCCGAAAGGACCATATGCACTCTCCATTGGGATCTCCCCATGAGAAAAATAATTCATCTGATTTTTCAAAATGAGTATCTTATTGACCTATATTCAGCACTGTTTTGATGTAAAGGCCACTTATTAGGGTCATAATTCAATCATGAAGTGTAGAGGCATAGATTCCAAACCAAGTATTTTTGTGTCTGTCAAAATCCATTTGCATCCTACCCATCCCTACATCTTATCCAAATATGTTACTACATAATGAAATATAATGGTATATTCTTTGGTTTTGCATTTGGTTTTGTTGATGGTTTTACAAAGTTGTGTGATTTTTGATAAGTGTAAAAGTTGTTTTTGGAGCATTTTTCTATAGCCATTTTGTAAGGAAAAAATGATGAAAAAATGTACAATCTTTTAATTTTAAGTATGACCTGAATCGATTGCAACCTTCATATTTGCACATTTGATGAGATAAACAATTTGTGTCATATTGTGAAATTATTATTATCACAAAAATACCAAAAATACACTATGACCAATGGAAACCAATGGCCTCTATTGGGATCTGCTGATATCCTCATGTTGAAGGCTGAATAAATAGTGCAGAGACGTATCCAACGATCATGGTCCAGGTGTCAAAATATATCAAATTTTGGATATTTCATCAAGGCTAACATCTATTTTCATTAGCTACAAAGAAAACCCCCGAACGTACCTAATTTCTGCCGATATTCACAATCACTGGCATCCTAAATCCCCGGGAATCTGCTCCCGACATTGACAGAAAAAATCCTCACGTACCTTTTAATAATTTTCCCGGTCATATTGTCATTGGATTCCAGCCCCGTTTTCACCTAAGGTTCTATCCAACATTCTGTTTCCTATATACCATGCGTGTGTCAAGAAGATCTTGATATGGGCAGATTTGAGGTGTTTTAATAGTCTTCGATATTTTTGATTTTTCTTCGTCAGTGGACAAGGCTAACTGCAAAAGTCGCCGGTAATAGACCGTCAACGGCAGTCATATCCTGTACATGCATAGGGTTATATCAGACAACCGCGGTTATACTGTAAACATGCTTACATGCGGTCTTACCTAATCTCAGCTGCAGTTAGAATTTTAAATGGTGGACATTCAGAAATGTTTCAAAAAACAAAATGCGGGATGTCCAACCTTTCAATTGCTTATTTAGATTTAGAAGTCTATTTGCAAGTCTGCATGGTGGTATGGCGAAGAATTAGAAGACATTAGGCCAAACGTTGGACTAATAGCTCGGGAAAGGTAAAATGATTCCCAAATTTCTTCTATGTTCTTTATTGAACCTTTAAGTCAATGATGCACAGCCCCATGTAAGTCAATACAACCTATCTCAGCCAATGTGTGCCAAAGCACTTTATACTTTTCAAAGAATTTTATGACATTCTATTCTTCATGCTACACTAAGAATGATTCATTTTGACCATAGGGGTATTTGCCAAAAACGCACCTCTTCCTTTAAAGTAAATTGTATTTTTGAACATTTTTGATGATTTCACTGAGAGCATACCAGGACTGAAAACATGATAATTCTAAATCATTTTTCCATTGAACACTTTATATATACAAAAAGCCCATAGATTCCTTAATTATTCAGAAAGTTATTCCAAAATTAGTTGGTGGTATTTTTTGTGTTATCCTGTACATTAATGACATTGCCGATGAAGAGAGGAGGGAAACCCGAGGAGGGAAACCCCCGGAGCTTTAGCAATAACAGACATATTATGTCTCTTGTGTACCACCTTTGTTTGCGCAAATTCTCACCAGTTGATGTTTTAATCAATGTAAGCATATTCCTTACATCTTTCTTCACCATGATGTGAAATAACAAGCTATGATATTGGTTAACAAGCCAGAAATTATATTGTTTTATTGTTTATTGTTCCATTCAAATTATTTACAAAACATATTATTACAATTTGATGCAGAGCGTATATTGTGTGCTAAAAGGTTTAAGGTTATGTATAAGTAAGATAATTAATTGGTGAAGTATTGGAACATAACAAGTAATAATATTATTCGATAATAATATTAATGTTTGTCGATTTGGACAAATCAGGACGATAGGTCATCTCAATGCAGATTTACATTATAGAAGTGGTCATCTTTGAACCCTGGGGCTTTTCCCCCTCTTTCGATGAATAAGCTAGTAACAAATGTTTCCTTTTAGCAGAAGACTTATATTTTGCCCCTATAACCCCACTTATTCCATCCATAACCTGGAAATTTCACAATCAGATTAGAGTGCTATATATATATATATATATAAAACGGTCAGAAAGATGGGAAATGAACTGCATACCAAGTATATCATATACAGTTTGCGCCAAGAGTTTGCGGATGTTTTCCAAACATCAATTGTGTTGTATTGCTATGTAATCCTCATAGCCTCTTTCTGTTTCACCTTAGGGCTGAGAAGGTTTGAGATGTCATGGTTTATCATGATGGATATAATACGCAATAACTAAAAATAGAGGTGTGGATATTTTTTCTTCTTATACTTAAAGTTTCTTGTAAATTGAAACTCTGACTTGAAATGATAAAATGTGCCGACTCAGCACTTTTGAGCCTGATTCAGAACCTGCCACATATCAATTTTTCATGTCTAGAGGTTTTTTGGTCAATTCCAGGCTGGCTTAATCTAGTCAATCAAATACATTTCATGTCTTAATACTCCATACATGATATAACTCTAATCTTAAGTGCTACTTGACTTGAATTGCCAATTACGTTGAAAATTTATATTTTGGAAAATGGGGTAGGGGTAGCTTAGTATTATTAGCCAATACTATATAGATTGGTTAAGAGAAGCATTGTAACTACTTCATCCATCAATTCAATGATTATAATCCATTTGAAGTTTAAATTAATAATCCTGCTTGATAACACACATTTTTTTTATAAAAAATATAATTGAAAGCCCATGATTTGAACAATGAAAAATGGGGTATGGGCACTTTATTAAGACAATTATATTGACCTAACATCCTTCCATTTTGGCCAATAGGGTTTATTGTGCCAGAAATGTCATCCTTATTCTCAAATATATCATATGTGGCAGATTTAGATATAAGATGATAATCATTGCTACATCTAAACAATATCATGTTTGCAACATAAAATCATGAAAAAGTTGAAAAATACTCCAAAATAGCGAAAAAATGGGAAAAGTAAAAAGCAAGTAAAATCTTGAATTCTCAAAATCCCAGTTATTTTATTGCAGATAATGAAAGCCCTAATGCTCCTCTTTCCAACAGTAATACTCACTGTACATGGGACATCTGGCTTTTCTGGCAAATTGGATCCAAAGATGGTTGCCATTTCGTCTCTATATTGACCCTCATGTTTACAACTAAAATCACGAAAACCTTGAAGAAATGGCCGAAAACATCGAAAAAAAAGTTAAAAGTAAAATGCTTGTAAAATCTTGAAAACCCAAAATCCCAGTTATTTTATTGCAGATTATGAAAGCTCTAATGCTCCTCTTTCCAACAGTAATACCCACTCTACATGGGACATCTGGCTTATTAAACAAACTGGGTCCAAAGATGGCTGCCATTTCGTCTCTTAATTGACCCATGTTCCAGAAAAGGCTCCGTAACCATAGCAACCATTGTGACGTCATAATAAACAATACATATGAACTCTTCAACATGTCCCATATACAAATCAAATAGTTATTAACTGGTTTTGGATTATCTTCTTGGCATATCATAAGCTTGAAATATGTCTTTTTTCACTGATTTTGGTGCATTTTCTAGGTTGTAAAAAGACAACAAACATGGGTTGCTTAGCAACGGTGTCACACACTAACCAATCATCTGTGAGAAAAATGAATAACATATTTTGGCTTCCCAATGGTCATACTTTCATATAAGAATAAAATTTTTGAAATATAAAATTTGACATGTGCCACCCTCCAATGGTGTCCTGCCCCCTTTTTACAAATAGTGCCTCTTAAGCATAAAGCCAATTTTAGCGTACAATTAAGCAGGTAAAAATATTTAGGACCTATACAGTACAACACAACAAAAATGTAAGTCTCCATGAGAGCATCCAATCCCAAGTCACTGGACACAAAACTAAAAGCATCATGGGAATGAATAGTCTCCTTTTGAGAATCCGTCTGCTAAAGCTGACAAGCGCTGCCACCTATCCACAATACCTACCCCCAAAATGGCCTCCATGGGAGGGGCAGGCGCATCCGAAGATGCAAGGTAAAACTCTTGAAAATCTAGTTTTTCTCTATCTGTAAATTACATAAAATAATACTACAGTGGCAGGGTCGGGAATTCAGCATAAAGTCGTGTACAAAAAAAGAAATTCTAGAGAAACAAAGAATCACAGAGATTTCGTCTCCTTCACACATTTTTTCTCTTTGAGTGACTTTATTTGAATGTACACAACTTTATGCCTATGAGCTACAAAATCAAAAGAAGCCTCAGTGGAAATCATACAATTTGCTTATGTAGGAAATGTATTGTAAAATGATATCAAAGTTCAGATCATGGAAATTCAATTTATCAATGCTTATCAAATTCAATGCTGATTTTCTTTCATTGGGTGGATTTATAATACATTTTAGCCAGCATATTTGTATGACTTCACACGAAGGAGGTCAATCATCCCATTTGGCATGACTGAGAGGATGCATGAAAGTGATTATCTGATTGGCCATCCAGTTCATGCCTCATGGGAGTCTATGACCTCCCTCACCACCAGAATGTGTACATAATATGTGTACATACCGACATGAAAGATTCACAAGGGGGACTTGAGGCTAGGTAGAACTCCTGTATTTCCATCTTGGCAGCTAGAAAATATCATGCCATCTTAAATGCCATCTGCCCTTAATTAACTTTTTATTCAATTTTTGGTTTTAAAAATATTATATTTTTATTAATGATCCAATGCAAATTCTAGAAAAGAGCAAATCACACAATGTTTCAGCCACTTGGTAATCATAGTTTCCATATATATATTTGATATTATATAACTACATGAAGGTACCTCAATTCATGAAAAATCACATTGAAAAATATGTCCATTTGTACCAATTGTACATAGCATGCTCCACTGGATGGAGTTATTTGAAAATGGTTTTCTTGTACCACATCCAAAAACTCCCTCCTATGATGTTTCATCTTCAAATCTAAACATGTTAAAATGATTTGTTCTTTTTATGTTCTTTGAGCATTGTCTTTAAGTTTCTTCCTTGTTCTTCTGGTTACATGTGCTACACAGAATTTGATAGAGTAACACATCAACATTTCTCTCAAGTTTTATCCTGCCTTTGGGATCTGTCTAGGCAGTTATATCACACCAAGGCATTAGCAGAGTGAAATTCCAAAGTATACTTTTGTTTGGGATACAAGAAAACACCTTAGTATGTATGAAGCATACAATATGAATACAAAACCTTTATAGGAAATGTTATATAAAATGCGTGTACAGTGTGCAAACACTGTAAACATTGAGTAACATGTAAACATTGAGTGAATACATATTATACTGATGAGCACCAGTCCCGAAGGACTGAAACAAGTTATCTAGATCAACTTTTTTCAGAATGCAGCAAGTTACATAACTGTTATTCAAATGTGACCTAAAAGTCTGAAATCGTTATAACATACCATGCATAATAAACATACCTTCATCTGCTATTCTCTTGTTGTCCACAATTAGATTATAGGCAACAGAGAGTTGGTCATGTGGATCACCACTAAGTAGAGCTCTATGGACATCATCCTCTGTCACCTTACATTTCTGAAAGTTATGTAAATGTTCATTAACAATATTCTACAGTAAAACCTATCTAATCTGAATGCTACTGGGACAGGCAAAAAGTGCTCAGATTAGCAGGTGTTCCATCCTCCTAGGCAGGTGTCCAGAATCCGTACCTCCTTCTTTCCCCTGCTATAACCAATTTGGAAGCATCCGATAAAACTGAATCATGTGATCTAATTATGCGCCGATGACATATACATGATTGCTGTTGCAATGTTGTGACAGCGAATCAAATTGCGAGTTCTTAATCGGGGAAATGCTAACTGCTAAATGTATGATATTGACTTCTGAGCTCATAAAATGGGAGCAGATGTGTATTAAACATAGATATGTCATTGTACATAGTTTTAGACCTACATGTAGAAGACATTGGAAGGCAGTTAGTCATCCACTCATGGTGACGAGTGCATGACACACTTAACGGATATTGATGAATCCTATTGGCGGATATATCCTTGTTCGAAAAACAATGTGCTTCAAGGACATTGACTTAATTCCAGTTTTCTGAAGAATTACGATGTAATTCCAAGATATGTGCTATATTGTTTCACTAAAGTGTTCTAATGCAATACATTGATGTTTTCCTGAATGTTAACTTACTGCACAGACTTCATAGACTGCCTCCTGGTCTATAATAGAAGCATCTTGATCCGTGGGAGGGGGGAATAGGTACTCAGGTAGTTCATGCTGGAACCATTCATGCTCCCTGCAATAGTTACATATACTTAGTTACATATAGTTTCAGGTGAATAATTAAAAACAAAGAGAAGTAAATACAATATCGACTTACAGGGTGAGTGGAAATTTTAACTGAATACTGATTTTCCTTCATTTTATTGTTGCCTTTCATTCCAAGTTTTAACAAGGCATTAACATGCAAAATGTCACCACCTGCAATTTACAACATACACCAAATGCTGTTACAGACACTGAACACAAACCGCCAAACACGGGCCACAAAATAGTTGGTGACTATAACAATATGTCACTACTTCTTGTGGTGACATAAAAATACCCTGTTATAGTTGTGAAATAAATGACAGAAAGAAGTTCAAAGAATCATCTCAAATTGCAAGAGGGCAGGAGAAGTCAAACTCTTACAAAGAGTAACAGTCCACACAGGGTTTCATAACCTACCTGAGGTCTTTGATGGTTGCCCTCTTCATGGGGTCCACCTGTAGCATGTGGGTGATCAGACTGACAACTGATTTGTTAAGGTGGTCAGGAATTGCAAATATACCAGCTACAAAAAGAACATACATGTATTTTAATTTTTGAAAGTTAAAAAATATGATAGACAAGTTGTCATTTTCACAAAACATATATACCCTTTTCATTTATAACTGCAAGTAATCAATAGATGTTTGTATGTAGATATGCTTACTAAAGCAACTGACATGAAGTTGTATGAATTACTTGAAATAGATGACAAATCAATTACACTAAAACTACACTAGTGTTCAATACAACTTCAAAATAGTGGTCCACTCTGGAGATATTCTACATCCTCAGGTTCAATTTATAATAAGTTCATTTTTTGAATGTGTCTTTACAGACACATTTACAATCATGACTTACATTTAATTTTCCTGAATAAAGTTGGCACATGCTCGTCATCAAATGGCAGCTGAAAGCAAACAGAAGTTTGGTCATCATGACATCTTTCATATGTTGAAAGTTCGAAATGTACAAAGACCAGTACAAAAACATATTTCCAAACTCATATATGACTTAATTACAGCACACTCGGTAAAATCAAATAGCAACTTTTTCTAAATCCCGAGCCTATATCTTACACAATAAATCATGGAAAAATAACAAAGGGTAACTTACTGTACCACAAAGAAGGGCATATAGTATGACACCAGCACTCCAGATATCTACCTCTGGACCAGCATACAGCCTGGAAATATTGGCAGATTTTAACAAGTTCTGTAATATGAGTGCTATTTTATGGCTGCGGCATGCGAGTCATCTCTTAGGGGTTGTGGTTTATGTTAGCCAATTCACAAAGACAGTATATAATGAGATATAATACAGATATAATGGGTAGCTACCAACTAGGGTACGATCTAATCACAATCTCCTTATATGAGAAAGAATTAGTGACTGATTCCTTATACCCCTTACATGGGCAAGATATTATAAGACCCTTATATGGGCAGTGATTTCTAAAACAAGACACTGTGATATATATTTCCACATCATGATACATTCAGTTAATACGCAGTTCAATGGCCACCATGTGATTTTCACCTAGCTTGTCCAAAACCTTATCAGATCTTGGCACTCGTCTGCCCTTGCATCTGCAAAAATCTCAAGTTGAACGGACAAGTGGTTTTCTTGGAATTTCTATGACAAGATAAATGTGCCCCCCCCCCCGCTTACCCACGCCGCAGCACAAGGCAACAATAAGCATTTTTTCAAAGAACGATAAAAAAGTAAGCATACTTTCCTGAGATGACCTCTGGAGCTGCATAGTTAGGTGACCCACAACTTGTACGTAAGAACTCCCCATCTGTCATCATGTTAGACAACCCTGAAATACACATCAAGGATATTACATGGTGGCAGTGAAAAATGAAAAGTAAAACTTAATAACAGTAAACTGCCTAGTGGTGAAATGCAAGATTTCAAATACTCATTGGATGACAATGAATATTCAACATGAAGTGTCCATGTTATGTTAACACAGCCCATATTGTGCTCTGTATGCTGTTTTTTATATGAGCTCTGAACCTAAAATACACCTTTTAAAAACCATAACACCCTGTAATCAACTCAGTCAAGACTTGCTACAAATCTTCTTTCCATCAACCTTCATTTTAAAACACAACACACTTTGCGGAAATAATCCTAGCAATAAATCTACATGTAGATTCCATACCAAAATCTGCAATCTTGATGTGCATGCTTTTATCTAGTAGCAGGTTCTCTGGTTTCAAGTCCCTATGTACCACCATGTGTCTGTGGCAGTAGTCTAGTCCAGATATGATCTGCTGGAAAAATTTACGGGCTTCATGTTCTTTCAGCTGAAATACAGAAAGAGCAATTACTATAGGAAAAAAGCCCAACACATATACCGGTAGTTTATAGAGGAATTAGTATTTTAAAAGTAAGAGCAATTTTTATAATATGCAGATACTGTGCATACTAATGATTTGAATAAGAAGCACAATGATATACAAAATCATTCCCGAGACATTCCAAATGGGATGTTTTCTGGCTGAGTGGCTTCTTCCCCAGGGTATTATATTATATATTTGCGTTATACATGCAAATTTGGTCAATACCTTTCCATTCTTTACAATGTAGTCAAACAATTCCCCACCAGACACATATTCCATCACCATGAAGATATCTGTAGGAGTGCTTATCACCTGGTACCTGAAACACAGATTATAATATAAAATTGTACAGTATATAAGAATACAACTGTATTATGAGTTCAAGAAAAGACCCAAAGACTAAATGATTTTTCTCAAATGGCTATGATGCCATATATGCATGATCAACCATACCAAAACTCTGGAATTCTTTGACAAAATAACCCCATGAAATTCATCAAAATTCTTCTTTTTATCAAAAACATTTTTTCATACAAAGTTTCCAGTTGATCTGATATTGGATAACCAAAACTGGTTTGAAAGGTCATATTTTCTAGAAATGTGTTTTAGCTGAGAAATTATAGATAGAAATTGATCAAATTTAGCCAGAAATCAGTTTTTAAGTTGTCTTAATAAGTGACCAAATCAACTTGACCTTCATGCGTCAGTATACAGGCAATCAATTTCGTTCCATATATGGAAGATGTAAAAATAGAACTGTCAATCAAATCTTGCAAAGGTTAGTGAAGTTTTGTCTGATATGGTCACGCGGTAGTATCTCTTCGGGACGTATCGAAACCACTCCGTCCCGAAAAACCGTTAATTTGAATTTAAAATCTACCCCAGTGTTTGAAAATCAAGGATTGTGCGTCTCACACTTCACCGTTTTTCTTCAAACTTGTTCCGTACAAAGCTTCACAGAAATACCTTTCAGTCGATACATTGTTTTCGTGTACAAAGTACCTCGTTTTAGCGGCGTTTTGGTCCCCAGCTGTGAGATAAAGCAAATTTTCATAACTTTCAACTGTAAGTCAAGTTATCTCGCCAGTCTTTTACCCATTCTCGCCCATAATTTCAGAATGGACTCCCATTACAACCTTCCATCGCTACGTCTTGATTTTTGGGCATCAAACGCAGCAGTTTCTAAATCATCCACACATCTCTTCAAATTTGACCAATACGTCCCGTCACCTTCCACTACGCCCCGCCTAGTCTATGACTACAAACGTGGAGTTGTATTCTAAAACATTTTGTTCATCGTTGTGTAATTTTACATAGGCCTTGGTCGATTCTTAACACCAGTCTTAAGTTTAGCATACATACGGAGTATAACTATAACTGATTGCATGAAATTGATAATTTAAATGTTTGTGAAGATGTTGCTTTTTAACTTTAATTATATGTAATTGTCCTGTATTTGATTTTGTGAGAAAACCAAGTGTCTGGTTTGAAACACAATAAAATCTGGAATCTTGTTTTGCAACAATAAATGGTCTAACCATCAATACAGTGCTGAATATAGGTCAACAGGATAAAAGTGTACACATAAATGTATTATAATTAAACCTGTACATTGATTTTGAAATATCAGATGAATTTATATTTTTTCATGGGGAGGCGGTAATAGAATCTGAGACAGGTCCTTTACCGGGTAATAGTTTCAATAATGCAGTAGCAGGTTTCGTGTAATTGGTGACAAAATATACTTTTACATGATACTGTCCCCTCCATAAGTTTGGCAACCTTAGCTCCCCATTGAACTACGTGTTAAAGCCTATTTATGTTTGAATTTTTATCTACATAACCTGCGGGGGAAATATTTATAAAATTGACGGAAATATAACTTGACTTTATTCCCAATACCTCCAAATTTTCTTGATGTTTTTCCTCAATTACAATAGATCGGAAATGGATGATAAATCTGATGAATTTTTGAAAATCGACATTCCCATGTAAACCCATGAGAATTGATATGTTTGTCGTATGTCATACGACAGAATATCCATCAATCTGAGTACTAGCAAAAAGTACAAGTTATGTACAGTAGACAGCTGAATTTGCTATCTTTATTTAACAAAAAGTTGATACGTTTCTTCAGGTTCAACAAAGTTATAGGTTAGGGTTGTCCAAATCTGCAAAATTTTCCAAAAATCTGTCATCTGATAGATTCCAGTTACAAATTAACTCTTGGTACAAATATTTCCACTCTAGACCCCTGGGAAATTTTGCCACGCGTCTCACTTGAAGTTTCGGTAATTTTGACAAATATGCCGTTTTCATAAATGGTTTATAACTCAAAATTAAACTGTTGTATTTCAGGAATATGTATTTTTTCTTCATCATGTATGATTTTCAATAACCCTACAGGCACCACTTTTTTTTAGCTAATCCATCGGGAAACTTTGCCACGCTTAATTTCAAAATAACGGAGATGTTATCAAAATTGAGCAATATTGGCACAAAAACGTTTCTAGATTCATATGAAGAATGCATCATCATACAACACTAATTGGTATATAAACAACATCTACTGACTTGGTCTGATAATGTAATATAAAGATTTTAACTGTTGTGTGTCAACCCTTCTTCTGTATGATTCCATTGGATTACATTATGAAACGTGTACCATATAAAATGATACATGTTTCTAACGTTATGCTGAAAATAATATAATTGACATCACCCATCCTTTCGCATTTTAACATTTTTTCAAGGATAGGGCACTTTAAACGTTTCTTAAAAATATTTTCAATTGTTCAGTAATTAAAATCTTTATAAGAATGGGTAAATCTTAAAACACAATCCGATTGGTATTTAGAATCGACAATGGCAACCTACAAACGGACACATCGATGGAAAAATTGTTTTAGAATGCAACTCTACGTGTATAGTGATAGACTCGGCGGGGCGTAGTGGAAGATGACGGGACGTATTGGTCAAATTTGAAGAGATGTGTGGATGATTTAGAAACTGCTGCGTTTGATGCCCAAAAATCAAGACGTAGCGATGGAAGGTTGTAATGGGAGTCCATTCTGAAATTATGGGCGAGAATGGGTAAAAGACTGGCGAGATAACTTGACTTACAGTTGAAAGTTATGAAAATTTGCTTTATCTCACAGCTGGGGACCAAAACGCCGCTAAAACGAGGTACTTTGTACACGAAAACAATGTATCGACTGAAAGGTATTTCTGTGAAGCTTTGTACGGAACAAGTTTGAAGAAAAACGGTGAAGTGTGAGACTCACAATCCTTGATTTTCAAACACTGGGGTAGATTTTAAATTCAAATTAACGGTTTTTCGGGACGGAGTGGTTTCGATACGTCCCGAAGAGATACTACCGCGTGATGGTGATTCAGATTTCTGTTGGAGTATTTAAATTATCAAAATAAATACAAATAAATGAACACTAAATCAAAATAATTTTATGAAATGTGTATAGGTCATTATGACCTACAAACAAGAAAATAGAGTTGGGATTTTATTTTTAGTAACCTGCATGTACAATCAGAACTCATCGAGTATTTGAATGCTGGAAAGATAACAATGAAATGAGATTACATTCAGTGATAAAAAATCAGGCATCCTGGCCCTCCATAAGATCTACAGCCCTCTGGTATTGTGCTTTCGCTTTATGTACAGAATTACATGTATACTGAATATACCTTTGTGTATCTCTTTCCAGAATGTAAGTTCATACCCCTATCTATATTGAACAAATATTTCACTCTATTGAGGTGAATACCTGTACATCTTTCACAAGTGATATTCCACGAAGCCTGAAGGGCAAGTGGAATATCACCTTGTGAAAGTGCTACAGGTATTCACCGAAAATAGAGTGAAATATTTGTTTTATTATATCACTGTCTAGCTAAACATCCCTAATATTATTAAGTCATTAAGTCTTCAGATATTTTTACGAATCTACTCGGTTCGTCTGCCATTTTGACTTAAACTGAACTAAATTATTTACACTGAACGAAAACAAATTCTTTGAAAATTCCCGGGAGCGTGGGATATCGCTAGATATCTCACAGTTGTCTTATCTGATTAGCATTGCCATTGAATATCGCCAGATATCCCACGACATGTGACCCGGTTTTGACCAATCATACTGTCGCTAGCTAGATAGTGATATAATAATGGTTGTTATTCAAATGTTTATGGATATGATATTACTGTAGAGTAAAATCTTTCTAAATGGAACACATTTGGTATGTTCCACTTGGGAGGTGTTCCACTTATAAGAGATTTATTTAATGTTAAGTCAGTTGGTCTTGGGACTCTGAAAAGTGTTCCACTTATAAAGGTGTTCCCCTTTACAAGTTTCAGTGTATATACCCTCATAGGTAAAAATTGTATTTCTTTTGTTGCCATTTTTTTGTTCTAGTTGCTTTTTCATTTAAACTTTCAATATATAAACAAGTAAACAATATATGTTTTAAAAATGTTTACAGGTGGTTTACTATCTTTAAATCATTTTCATTTTCAATATAATACTCACAATTTTATAATATGTGGATGCCTAAAGAGTTTCAAATTCTGAATTTCTCTGCGGATTTTGCCGACGACATCTAGAGTCTTAATTTTCTGTCTGTTAAGGATCTTCACAGCAACCTTGTGACCAGTTAACTCATGTTTGCCAACTGAAACAAATCAAAAATATCAATATTAAACATGCAAAAATATTGTCATCTGGTTATAATATTGCAAATTACATAAATGTAATATATTGTTACAGATGCTGAGGCCAAATTATGAAACCAGCCACAAAAATAGATAAAACAATGTTATCATTTCTTGGTGGTGGCATAAAAACAGGTTTATAAGGTTTATAAGTTGAGCTCTATGCACAATGTTTGTGATAACCACAATTTAGGCTTTATAAATGTCACTTCATTGAGATAGGATAATATTTCCAAATGAATAATGAGTTTACTTTATGGATGGATGGAAGAAAATAAAGTAACCCTTTGGAAATAATAATCCTTCATGCAAATTGCTTGGTATCAATATAGATAGATAGTCTGGTTGTATGGCACTTTTAATTTATCAGATGGTCTATATCAAATTGAGATGGTCATATAAGATATTGTACTATCGGTGTTCTCTACAAGATTTTTCTCAAATGGGTGAAAATTCTCATTTTCACAAATCAGTCCAAATTGGTAAAAATCTAATATACAACATGTACTATGATTTTTCTCATTTTCAAGTGGGTGCAAAAGGATTTTCAGGTGGATACAAGAGTTTTTTTTATAAATCTCAGGTGGGTGCTGCGCCCACTTGCTTTAATGCTGGGTAGATCACTGACTATAAATCTAATTGAATCAAAAACATGAATTTTGATCTATCTCTCTATGATAGTTGCGTGCATATTCCTGTGGTGTTTTAGAAACTAACGCAGAACCTGGAGCAGCTCAAATATCACCAAATTATGAATGAATTGTAGTAATATTTTGTCCCGGGGATAAGTGCAGCTGATTTTCTGAGTTACTTTAGCATGTTACTGATAACTCTAGAATGAGAGCGATAAAAACTTTGTAAATATATATTTTTCTGAAATATTTATGCTTTTCAGTCTGTATTGAGTTAAGTTGGTGGACTGAGAGTTTGAAAGATGACCCTTGGGAGATCACTGCTGCAGTTAACACTGGCAGATCTGGGGGGGCCTGGGGCCTGCCCCCCCCCTTGGGTGGGCCCAGAAAAAAAGGCCTTAAAGGCCCCAAAAAGTGGGCCTGTTTGGTCATAACTGGGCCTTATAAGGCCTTATTTTTTAATTTAAATTTTGAAGAAAATGGGCCTCAAAACTTGGGCCCACTTTTGGGATTTAGGGGCCCTGGTTAAGCTGAATGACAGTTTCTAAATTCAGCCAGTCCCATTCATAAATCTGCATTCAATTCTGGTGATGAAATCTATGCGAACGATGTTTTTCTCTTAATATGCGGAATGCGGATACGTGTAAGGTTACGGCAATAGCGAAAATGGGGCTTTTGTTAGATAAAAATATATCTAATTTTAACATTAAATCTTTGTTGAACTTTTTAAAAGAATCCATTTAAAAAGCAGACGAGTCTGCTTTTCTGTTGAACCCAAATCAGAAATAATGATGTTTACCGTGGCAGGAAATATTACAAAGTGTTATATTTTCAATAGACACGGCATCGGATATAGTCCTGAGTAAGGACATTAGCGGTTACCGTTAGTGATTTGGTTTTCTGAATAAAAAGTCATTTTCTCCTTCCCTACCCCATTGGGCATTTGGGAAGTGAATCGGGACTAAATATTTATAGGGTAGGTCCTAATTTATCTGAAAACATGTCAGAGTTCAATGGGAAATCTCATTTTAAGCTGGCGGCGGAGTGATTTTGACCTTGGTGATTTTACCAGAATTCTCTGAGAAATCTGACGAAAGAGGGGGTTAGTGTCTTCAAGTTTATTTATTTCAAAAATTCGGTGGACAACCCATGGTAAGATTGTTATAGCAGGCTAGGCGAGTCTCTCCCGAACACTGAGGTATGTTGCACTAGGCTTGGATACTAATAGTTAATAAGATACAGGGTAAAATGTTATAATGGCCACCTATGGGAAACTCTACTGTGGTCTTCAACCATCACATCAACATGATGTTTTACTACATATTCAAACAGTTCTTACATGTTTATCTTGATATTAAAATTAAGCCTCATCATGAACCATAAACATGACAGAAATAAATATGTTCAGCGATTTTCATTTTTCCATTTTTCGAGTGGACAATCTGCACAAAGTTCATTTCTTCTGGTTAAGTTTTTTGTGCATCTGCATGCAGGCGAATAGAAAGAATTCTTAACGTGAAAATATAGTTTAAAGTGACTAAAGTGTGTGCATACATGCCCAAAATAAAACAAACCAAAAATTTGAATTTCACATGTGTCAGGTAATGTTGCATATCATTACATCCAGAACTCACGAAAAAGCAAAATTGTGCTAAAAGCTCAATGGTTGACACAACAAAGGTGTAATAAGGTTACATTTAATAGTGCATTCTAACTTCTAGAAGGTTAGTGAGAGTCCTATTTCCATTCTCAGCCATGAGACATTCCCGGACAAACCCTTGACATGAAGTGAGAATTTGGGGCATTATTAGACCCTTTACAATTATCACTGTGTCTAATTTGAAGTTTCAATGAAGAAATCGTACAAAACAAAGAATTATTGAAGATCGGAAGATCGTCCGACAATGCCCCATGTCTGGGAACACCTCTATGTACTCGTAAGTGGGATTTTGACATTTGGGTTTGGATAATTGGCATTCGGACAATTGGCATTCAGGCCAATGGGGCAACCCTGAAGTACAGTACTTGAGCCGCTTGAAGCATAGGAAGCCTTAGTCCAACAACATTAGACCTAGCCTGGGCCTCGTTTCTTATCTGACATGTCTTATGGCCCCGGCTAGGTCTAACTTCCATGATGATTTTGCCCTTGATGCGATCATTTAATCGTTCAGCAGGTTTCGACATGCGGAACTAATTAAACCGTAATAAGATGGTATCGTTACAGAAATAATGTGATCAACGCATGCATACATACCTTATGAATAAATACAAATCATCACATACCCCCCTGTAACCTCATCGATGTATAATTATGAAAATGTTGGGAGAAGGCTTTTTCTTAGTTTAGAAAACTCTGTTCTGGTTCCGGTAACATCGAAATGGCAAATCCTTTCAGGAATAAACCGCCGTTAGCAACACTGAACGAAACAAGTTCATAAAACGAAACGAACCCCGGTTATCCTATATATAAGTACAAAATATTGTAATACTGTAGGAGGCTTGTGATAAACATTGAAGTTATTAAAATGTAACAATTGTTACAAAGCATGTATGCTGAGTAAAATACATGATCCCAGTTATAAACAATTGAGTTTATTATATCATTGCTAGAAATTATGTGATTTGATTGGTCGAGTCAGTACCATGTGATCAAAAATACCATAACGTATTTCACAGCTCCCTCAATTTTAGGATAATAAAAGACGTATTGCCCGACGTATTGCCCGCCCGGGAATTCTGACAACTACACTGGAAGAAAATAAAGTGTACCATTCAATGATACTTGTACGTAATTATGTTCACTTATGGATTAATGATATATTAATTGATTAAAATAAATGATCACAGGGAATGTCTAGCAATGATATAATAAAACAAATATTTCATTCTATGTTCGGGCAATACCTGTTGCACTTTCAATGATTTTTGCATCATGTAGTTCCCTCGCCCTACAGCTGCGGGCAATACATACCGCAAAAATCATTGAAAGATGAACAGGTATTGCCCTCCATAGAATGAAATATTTGCTTAGTATTCCTAGTACGTTTTTGCAAGCAGAAAACCATAAACAATTACCATAATTTAATATTTAGGCACAATTATTCAACACAATCACAATCTAGCACAATCAATGACATCTATATTTCTTTGAGCTGAAATTACCAGTAATCAAATGCATCAATAATGTTGCGAGTATTGCTTTTTAAAGTTTTTATAAATAACAATAGAGTAAACTTGGGTGAATACACGCGCTGTTTGAATAAAGCAAAGATTCGTGCCATACCAAGGGAAAAATCAATACCCGGTGATTTCAGCGGGAAGTGGCGTTTCGTTCAGTGGATGAGCTGCGCGCGCACGCATAAATGTGATTATCAGTATTATTTTAGGGGAGGGATCAGGAGGAGTGAGTAGCTCCCATAATTCTTTCATATTCTATCGTATTCGGGGATTCCCCATTACATCATCTCTTGCATCATCACCAATCAAATTGCAGGATTCGATCACGTGAACAAACCTTAGCATGTGCTCTCTCAGTGCTGCGCATGCGCAAAGTTAAATTTGAAATCGTGGGAATGGCGTTAACATCAGTTCAACATCATCATTTCAAACCTACGGTAATACTATTGAAGTTACTCGATCCATACTTGTAGAGAATACTCATAAAACTACAGTGAACATTTGGAGATCCATTTTAACGGCAAATTGAGGCCTGTTTATAAAATTTGTTTTCGAACGTGATAATATGATAGGGAATCTTTGGGAAATCTCCCCCCCTGGGGAGGGATATTCAAGCTTATTTTCGTCATAGGCGCGACCCAGGGCTGTTGTCTTAAGGACATTCCGTTGAAAATTAGCCATTCGGCTGATAATTTGTAAGAGTTTGCGATCTTATAAAGTATAACTGTTACTCAGACACATATTTTGACACGATTCTGCTGGAAATAAGCTTTGAACCGAGAGATATTCACGATTGATATGCACATTTTTGATTGTGCCATTGCTTTTCCATGGCACAATCCATGTATTGATAGAAGTAACATTAATGCAGATTGTTTTACCTTCAATACATGGCGGATTCACTACATATCGGTCTATTAAATACCATTTTGTGCCCTAAATAGTTTTATATTTCCATCACGGCCTGGAGCCTGGGTGTGTTTGTCTAGTATGTGTATGCTTGTGAATTGGTGGGGCTGGCCCGGGGGGGGGGGCTGGTAGGGCCACCAGCCCCGTCCATCCTTTATTCTACTTCCCACTTATTATAATTTATGCTGTAACATTTATACTTCGCTGGAAAACAATAGGAATTATTTTTCTTGCCAATCAATCATGCCTGATCACAATCAAAATTTCAGAAAGGATCAATCAGGCAATCGTCCAAAATCAAGTTATAACATTATATGATATTCAGGAAGAAGTCTGGTAGAAATATAGAATATTTAAACATCAAAGCTGAAAGTTAAAAGCTAATCTGTCAATTTTCTGCCTGCAAAAGAACGTTTACATTTGACACAATTGAATAAAAGACCGAGGCTTTGAAATCTAGGATTCCCCAGGAAAATATGACGTCATACTAATTAGCATAAGGATTTCCCTAGTGGTCTGGGTCGAGCATCGTCCGAAAACACAATCCGATAAATACATGCTAATTTCTAAGGAGATAGGAAGTGTATGACGTGTTTATCGTTTTTGTTTAAAGATTTGATCAATTATCAAATTGTTTAAGTGGATAAAGTGGTCACACTTGCTTCAATTCATAGCGTAATCGACGGATAGAAACTGCACCGAATTCCCGATATCCTACCCCGTATTACTTTAGGCTATAACCACAGTGACCTGCAGATGGCGCTATCACAAACAAGTACTGCACGAACCGATAAATTCCCGGGTATTGTAACGCCCTTGGTCATACTGGATGGTTATAATAAATATCAATATTGAAGAACAATTTCGTTTCGCTGACCAAGTTTACTTTGGCGACGCACAGACAGACATTGCCGGTTGAAATATTCGTCTCATAAATTGGTAAGAATAAGACTCATTTTACGATTAAAAATGAACATTTAACACAATAATATTATGTGAAATCGCCTGATGAAATGTGGTTTTATATTATTGTTAAGTATCAGTGTCATATTAGCGAGAAAAAGTGGTTTCGATAGATCCACAACTTGCATCAAAGAAAAGAATAGCATGGAGGTTAAACTCAATAATGGCCCCAAGAAAAAATTCCTAATAGTAAAGAACGCCGTTATTGAGTTTAACGACGTTGAACTAAGGAAGCCTGGTTTATGCTAAACGTTAGATATCAAGGCTGTTGTTGTTATTCTAAAGATACAAATATGCTACTTTAAGACAATCTCACTATTGTAATTACCCAAATGCGAGTAGGTAGTTACCAGTTTCACCACCAGGTGGCTGATTCGGGTCAATTAACATGGCAGGTATATGAGAAAGTTCCCTTAAACTTGAATGTTATCAATTTAAGTGGCTCAATTTTCATATAACCCTTATGCGTCTGATACTTATACTAATGAAGATATGTCCAGTAAAGCAAAATATTATCTGTCCACTAAAATAAAAGATATTTCATTTTTTGTGATTTTATAGCATGGGGTCTATGGGGAATCTCCCCGAGCTAGAAGTCACATTTTCAAAGAAAATTAATTTTTCAAAGTTGATAAACACTTTTTAAAACCACATTTCTAGATGTAATTTTACATGAAGATTTCAAATATGATATTAGTTTGACTGAATTTTGAATTTTTAATGACGTAAATCAAGATTATTTCTACTCGCATCTGGGTTATTGATACAGATATCGACATTTTGACTGACCTCAACTGACCCATTTTCTATGTTGATTGTAAAGAAACGTGAAAATCATCAACATCTTGAAATCTTGGCATCATTTCAAAGTCCTAATGTAAGTGATTTAACGTTTTAACCGGTCATTTTACGAAAACAGCTCAATGCCAAAACAGTTCATACTTACTTTTGACTTTTCCAAACGTCCCAACTCCCAATGTATCGCCTAAAACATAATGTCCAATTTTCACCTGACTTAGATTTCCATCAATTTTGGCAGCCATCTTTCTTGTTTACGATTGTCGACCTTCAATTCAGCGAGAACCACATTTTCGAATCCTAATATTTACATGATTTGAAGGTTTTGATTATCAATAAACTAAACAAAATTCTTTAAATGTACAAATTTTTCATTCAATACTGTTTTTTCTTAATATTCAATGTGTATAACTTGCTAGATTGCAAAAAGAAATAGTACCAAAATGTTTTTTCCAGGTAGAAAATCTTACTCCCGGGAAACTTTATTATTGATTTCGTTTTGTGTAGTAATACACGGGTGTTGAATCGTTTAAGTCGTACTGTTTAGGTTGACTTGGATCCAAAGCTATCTCTATGCAAGCTAGAGACTCGGGTAATTTCGGTCACTATTTGTTTAGGTAAAGGAAAATAGTTATTCCAATCAGTTTTCTTTTAAACACAAATACTTAGAAACATGTATATGGCTTCCTGTAAAATATACAATTATGGTGTTCATATTTTATGATGGTCTCAGATATTATCAATGTGTGTGAAGGTCAATTCTGGAATAATTGTATGTCATTCCAAGGTCAAACTCCAATTTTGGTGTAGGCCTTCAATATATCACTGCAGTGGTCACATCTTAAGTTTCAGCTTCCAACATGTGTTTATAGCTGAATTACATGAAGTTATGCCTATTGGGAAACCCTGAGAACTACATGTATTTGGATGTATTTTGCATATATGTATAACTTAAAATATCTTATTGATTGCTCTGGCAAAGGTTTTGACAATTCGCAAGATTAATCAAAACGTTAATTGGTCATCACATCTGAACTATTCTTGTAAATGCCATGGATAGAAAGTTGATACTAGATATGGTACTACAGCACAGCTTCTTCGCCAAAGCTTTGATAGCTCAGTTGGTAGACGATCAGGCTTTGGATTGAAGAGTTCTAGGTTTGATTTCCACACGGGGCATTGCATTTAGCATTCTTTCACCCCTTGAATGTGGCTTACCACACTGCACTCTGTGTTTCCTCAGAAATACCTTCGGGTCATTACAGCAACAATTAGGACTAAATATTTCAAGAGATCACAGGTTTAGATGCCAATCTCAAGTCATTAACTTGGCAAATTTCATTTATAGGCTCATATGAAAGGTTAGAGATTCCCCGTTTGTTTTTGGGAAGTTTTTGTCCTATTGGGATGAATTTTGGAAATGAAAGCGAAACATGGTGATGTGAATGCTAAACTGTTACTATGATACCGAATACTTGACTCCTTTTCTACTCCCCTTCTTTCGCTCTTACACCTTCACTATTTTTCAACCCTCCCCCTTCTACCCTTGACACATGTTCAAATGTTCAGGATTGCCCCTCCCTCATATTTCAAGACTCAAGAGTAGCTCTAAGTACAGATAGAGTTTTGATACACTATATTTTCCACTTTAATTCTCTGTAAATAAAATAATAAAATGACAAACTATTTTTTTTATTCATAAACTACTGTTTTGAATATCAGTTCAACATATATAACCTTACAGATTACAAATATGGTACAACTAAGGTGTCTTATATTTGAATTGATACAGTATATCACATTCAGTATGGCTACAACTTTTAAACTCTGACAGAATGCAACAATATTATAACATCTTCAATTTCTTTTGATCTTTGGTGCTCATATCTTGAAATTTAAAACAAATATGAATCATGAACTTTTTGTCACAAAATAACAAAAATTCTGCAATATTTTAGTAAGATCCATGAGACGCAAGTACAAATGGTCTTCTCTTCACCAAAAAATGTATTTTGTTTTAAAATAAGCAAATACATACAGTTCTATCTATCATGTCTATAGGCTATAGAAATATAAAAATAAAGTAACTACTGACTACTGTATATAAAAAAATATATAATAATACACTTTTGGCTCAATCAATGTCTGGACTGTCTTAGTGATCTGCAAATTATATTCCTGAGATTTAAAGTAAAATTAAGTAGGCTTATAAGCATATTATATATAATATTTTCAAATTTACTTTTATTGGATTATTATGTCTTAGGATTTCTTTATTAAGTTATGAAAGATGCCCTATCACTAGATCTAATTTTAAATCAAACAATCATCAAAGGTCTTATTTGACTTCTATTTCTTTGGCCTTGATGGGAAAAGTTGAACAGGTCAGGGACCATTTCCCAAATATATTGTAAATTGTCCTATTCATTATGCAATAAGAAAGACATTTCCATTTCAAGATTTGTGAAATACAATATTTTTGTTAAAAGGTCTCTATTGGCTGTAGTTGTCATGGCTATACTACTGCTCATTAAACTATACAAATGTAGTATTATAGTGATGAAAATGTTCATTAAACACTTCTAATTAGTTCTGCATCAAACATTTAGTCCCCAATTATCTATTTATTTGAATGCAATTTAAAAACACCGAATCTGTTGTTCATAACATAGGATTGTAGACTCCAGCTACAATAAACAAGGTCATGCTCTAGCTACTGCCTTCATCAGAGCTTTTGATAATAGATGTCTCTGACCACTGGCCCATATCTGTGTCTATAGTTTTGAATACACCCTCCACATCTTGGTGCTTGGATTTGCTTCTCCGAGATTTTGGCTTCGTCTGCAGTTTTGTTTTTTCACCTGAAATAAAGTGGAAATGGAAAATTAAAATACATAATTAATAGAAGAAAGAATCATATTTTCTTTTGAATTTTTGTTTGGGACACTGAAAATTATTTGACTATAAAGAGATACTTTCTCAGGACCATAACCAAATATTTTCACACAACCTTTTAGGAGGGTACATAGTGGCATAATAAGTGTATAAGCACAAGTAACTTGTGATTCTGTACTACTCCCTGCTTAATTTCTATATTCTATGGGGGTCAGTAATCAGTATATAGGGAGTGCTGTTAATATTTAAATCTTCCATGGCATGAGATGTAAACAATCATAAATATATTTATGAATGAATAATGAGATACCTCTAAAATGATTAGATCACTTAATAAAAGATACAACACTCATTTTAACCAGAACAACGGCAACGCCAAAGCGTAGCGAATCCCATCGAACAGAAATGGCTGGCATTTTTACATACAAAATATATAGCAAATATCATAAAATAACACCCATAAGAAAGGCCACCATTTTCAAAATGGTTGATCACCAAGCCAAGTTGTCATCAGAAGTAATATGCTTTTAAGTAGCCACATATAAAATTCTTAAAAGATTGCCAATGGTGGCCATTTTTTAAAATGGCCGCTTACTACTCAAAATGTCATGAGACAGTATGCAATCCTTACGAGTATTCGCATATCAAATATGAACAAAATCGCTCTATTACTTTATGAGTTATAATAAAAATGTAAAATAACACACATAGAAATGGTGGCCATTTTTCAAAATGGCCGACTACTCCCCAAAGTTTTCCATGGCACAATCCATGTATTGATAGAAGTAACATTAATGCAGATTGTTTTACCTTCAATACATGGCGGATTCACTACATATCGGTCTATTAAATACCATTTTGTGCCCTAAATAGTTTTATATTTCCATCACGGCCTGGAGCCTGGGTGTGTTTGTCTAGTATGTGTATGCTTGTGAATTGGTGGGGCTGGCCCGGGGGGGGGGGCTGGTAGGGCCACCAGCCCCGTCCATCCTTTATTCTACTTCCCACTTATTATAATTTATGCTGTAACATTTATACTTCGCTGGAAAACAATAGGAATTATTTTTCTTGCCAATCAATCATGCCTGATCACAATCAAAATTTCAGAAAGGATCAATCAGGCAATCGTCCAAAATCAAGTTATAACATTATATGATATTCAGGAAGAAGTCTGGTAGAAATATAGAATATTTAAACATCAAAGCTGAAAGTTAAAAGCTAATCTGTCAATTTTCTGCCTGCAAAAGAACGTTTACATTTGACACAATTGAATAAAAGACCGAGGCTTTGAAATCTAGGATTCCCCAGGAAAATATGACGTCATACTAATTAGCATAAGGATTTCCCTAGTGGTCTGGGTCGAGCATCGTCCGAAAACACAATCCGATAAATACATGCTAATTTCTAAGGAGATAGGAAGTGTATGACGTGTTTATCGTTTTTGTTTAAAGATTTGATCAATTATCAAATTGTTTAAGTGGATAAAGTGGTCACACTTGCTTCAATTCATAGCGTAATCGACGGATAGAAACTGCACCGAATTCCCGATATCCTACCCCGTATTACTTTAGGCTATAACCACAGTGACCTGCAGATGGCGCTATCACAAACAAGTACTGCACGAACCGATAAATTCCCGGGTATTGTAACGCCCTTGGTCATACTGGATGGTTATAATAAATATCAATATTGAAGAACAATTTCGTTTCGCTGACCAAGTTTACTTTGGCGACGCACAGACAGACATTGCCGGTTGAAATATTCGTCTCATAAATTGGTAAGAATAAGACTCATTTTACGATTAAAAATGAACATTTAACACAATAATATTATGTGAAATCGCCTGATGAAATGTGGTTTTATATTATTGTTAAGTATCAGTGTCATATTAGCGAGAAAAAGTGGTTTCGATAGATCCACAACTTGCATCAAAGAAAAGAATAGCATGGAGGTTAAACTCAATAATGGCCCCAAGAAAAAATTCCTAATAGTAAAGAACGCCGTTATTGAGTTTAACGACGTTGAACTAAGGAAGCCTGGTTTATGCTAAACGTTAGATATCAAGGCTGTTGTTGTTATTCTAAAGATACAAATATGCTACTTTAAGACAATCTCACTATTGTAATTACCCAAATGCGAGTAGGTAGTTACCAGTTTCACCACCAGGTGGCTGATTCGGGTCAATTAACATGGCAGGTATATGAGAAAGTTCCCTTAACTCCTTCATTACTGAGGGTTTTTGGGCATTTTATCAATAATTGTGCACAAAATTACGAAATATACTGTAATTTCCAAAGTATCCATCCAATCATTACAATTGGGGTATCAAATTAAACCTTGGAGCATATACTATCCAATTTACATATAATTTAATCAATTATGCAAATTAGATGACGTCATCATGACGTCATAGGTCATCAAAAAAAACAAAAATCTTCAAAATATCATGATCAATTGTGCTATGAGATTTATCTTGAAAATACCTTACAACAATAGCACAAAAATAATTTAAATCTGTTTTCTAGGGGTTCCAAGCTTTCAGATGATATATTTCCTGAATTACAACTCCAAAAAATGACGAATTGAGATCTTTTCGAAAATTTCTGGTTTTACACGAAATATTGTAATCTATCGCGAAATCTGATAATGTGCATTCTGGAGCAAAAATGACCATAAGAGATAAGAACTAATATCACAAATAAAATACTGTTATTTCCATATTATCCAAGCAATCATTACAATTGGGGTATCAAATTAAACCCAAAAGCATACACTATCCTATTTACATATAATTGAATAAATTATGTAAATGAGATGACGTCATCATGATGTCACAATTCAACGAAAAAAGGAAAATCTCGTAAGAATCTCAAAAAAATCTCAAAAATCTCATGATCAATGGTGCTATGAAATTTTTCTTGGACTAATACCTTACTTCAATATCTACAATACTTTTAATCTATTTTCTATGAGTTCCAAGCTTTCCAATGATATATTTCCTGAATTACAACTCCAAAAAGCAATGATAAAGGAGCTTTTTGAAAATTACTGAATTTATGCAAAATATCGCAAAAGCTGATGATTGTGCATTTCGGAGCAAAAATGACCATGAAAGGTAATCACTTGTTACAAATAAATGTGTGGCTTGACTTCCTCATTATTTAATAAACCGTCTTGGTACCATATGAAAGCTAAGAACATGAGAACATCTTATTTACATAGACTATACATAAATTATGCTAATTAGGTGATGTCATCACCAGTCATTTACAGGTGAAGCTTCAAAAATCGATAAAATTACCAAATCTTTACATCACAAATAACAATGTTATTTACTCAATTTCTTATCGACAGTTGTCTTATTGGTACCATATCAAACTTTAGAACATGAACTACAATACATGTACATATGTATCTCATTTATATAAAATTGTTAGCAATTTAAGTAAATGTTAATGTCCTGATTGTTTAAGCCTATTTAGGGGTAAAGCTTAAAAAATCGATAAAAAATCTCACATATTTTCCCGTTTGTAATCTATAGATAACAACATAACTGATAACCTCCACAATATGTAAATTGTAATCAACAGTGTTCACGCCATAACAAGAAGATCACAGAAAACTGTTTCTATGGGTATGTTGCTTTATGTAAGTGTCAGTTAGTGTTATCATGATACAGTATGATACAGTATGCCACAATATGATGTGTATCATGATACATTGTCACGATACGAGAAACAATAAGATACATGAATGCACTATACGCTATATAGTGTGCATACATTGTTTTACAGAGACATTGAATGAATAAATGAACATTTTGTTTGCCTTATCATGCATACAATAATAGCTAAAGGTTCTCTGGTAACATGGCTTTCTGATAACATATGTTTACATATTATATTAATGATTAATATGGTAGTTATAAAAACAGTTTCTAGTTGAATTCAGGCACAAGTTGCCTCTACAGTTTCTATTGCTACACGTCCACTGGGATTTTCTTTCAACTTTGTTATTTGCGTAGCACAGGCGACAGTTTCGTGACATGCCACTGTGGACTGGCAAATGGGGACTTGGGTCAACTCTAGGAGCTAGACAACGGGGTCTTGGTACCTCCTCATTCAGCTCTATATGGGCAAATTGTCTCACCAACTCCTCTCTAAACTCAAGCTGACCGTAGCCTGGAATGTTATAAAATTTTCTTTCAATTACAAAA